GTTTATGTGGCCCTTTCTGTCTCTTGGGCTAATACTTTCCTTGTGTCTTTGGTGTTCTTCATTCTCCTTTACTCCAGGTGGTTGGGACCAATTGCTGCATCTTAGATGGCCGCTTGCAAGCTTTTAAGACCCCAGATGCCACTCACGAAAGTAGGATGCAGAACATTCTCTTAATAAGCTTTGTTATGCCAGTTGATCTAGATGTTGCCTAAAAGCATGGTCCCCAGATCCCTACCCCTGCTACTTTGTCCCTCAAGGTGTTTGTGTTAAGGAAACGTCTTAGTTTTGGTTTAGTCCAGTTGTGCGGGCTTCCCCTGTAGTGTGTGCTATCCTTCCCTTCACCTGAGATAATTATCTACTATCTAGTTAGTAAATAACCCTCACCCTCGCTCCCCACACTCGTAACCATCAAAGAATGTTTTCTTCTGTGTTTAAACCTTTTCTCGAGTTCTTATAATAGTGGTCTCATACAATATTTGTCCTTCTGTGACTAAATTCACACAGCATAATGACCTCCGGCTTCCTCCATGTTATGTTTCACGGCTTCGTCGTTCTTAATTGTTGCATAGTATTCTATTATGTGGATATACCATAATTTGTTTATCCATTTGTCCTTTGATCGGCACCTACGTTGTTTCCATCTTTTTGCTATTGTGAACAGTGCTGCAGTGAGCATGGGTGTGCATATATTCGACGGCTCTTATTTGTTTAGGATGTATTCCAAGAAGCAGGATAGCTAGATCATGTGGTACTTCTATTTCTAGCTTTTTAAGGAAGCGCCAAATCAATTTCCAAAGTGGTTCAACCAAATTTGTATCCCATAGAGAACATGCTGCCAAAATTGTCATTTTGAAATCTCAGAAAAGTTACTTGCTTTCATTAAAAATGATTTGAAGGCATACAAAAAGAAGACGTGTCAGTAAATTTCCTGAAGTCATTCTGATCTTGATATCAAGAGGCTGTAAAAGACAACAGTGCAACAAGTGCAACAGCAAGACAAAAACCAGTGATTCATCTCAGTATATACAGGAAAACCTAAAACAGCAATAAAAAATATTCATGCCAATATTCCTATTACAAAAAAAGGAAGTAACATGGCCAGGTAGATTCAACCCATGGAAGCATTTGGCATTTCATATTTGTTATTTGTCTAGTACAGCACATGAGCAGAAAAGCATACAAAAACAACGTTGTTGGGTGCCATCAAGACGGTTCCAACTCACAGCGACCCCATGTACAACAGAAGGAAACACTGTCCGGTCCTGCATCGTCCTCACAATCACTGCTATGCTTGAGTCCATCATTTCAGCCACTGTGTCGATCCATCTTGCTTAGGGTCTTCGTCTCTTTCGTTGACCCTCTACTTTACCAAGCATGATGTCCTTCTCCAGGGACTGGTCTCTCCTGATAGCATGCCCAAAGTATGTCCGATGAATTCTCGCCATCCTCGCTTCTAAGGAGCATTCTGGCTGAACTTCTAAGACAGATTTGTTCGTTCTTCTGGCAGTCTATGGTATCTTTAATATTCTTCGCTGAAAGCATAATTGAAAAGCATCAATTGTTCTTCAGTTTTCCTTATTCATTGTCCAGCTTTCACATGCATATGAGGCAATTGAAAATACTTGGCTTGGATCCAGGCGCACCTTAGTCCTCAAAGTGACATCTTTGCTTTTAACACTACAAAGAGGTCTTTTGCAATAGATGTACCCAATGCAATACATCACTTGATTTCTTTACTGCTGCTTCCAGGGGCAAAAAATACTGTATGAAAATAGTTCTAAGCAACTGAATAAAAGGATGCTTCTTACACATGTTAAGAAAGGTTCGTAGCCATCACAGAGATGCAAATCAAAACCACAAAAAGACACCATTTCACTCCCACTAGAGTGGCTAAGATTCAAAAAAGAAAACAACAAAGTTTGTGAGGATGTAGGGAAACTGGAACCCTTACCCACTGCTAGTGGGAATGCAAAGTGGGACAGCCGTTGTGCAAAACTGTAGCAGTTTCTCAAAACACTAAAAACAGATCTACCATGTGACCCAGTAATTCCACTCCTAGTTATATATCCAAAACATTTGATAGCAGAGACTCAGAGACTTGTACACCAGGGTTCATTGTCATACTATGCACAATAGCCAAAAAGTAGAAACAACCTAAATGCCTATCAACAGATGAATGGATAAAGAAAATGTGGTACATACGTACAATGGAATACTCCTCAGCCAGCAGAAGAAATGAAGTACTGATACATGCTACAATATGGATGGAGCTGGAAGACATTATGCTGAGTGAAATAAGTCAATCACAAAAAGACAAATTGTATGACTTCACTAATGTAAAAATACAAACTTCAATCCACTGCCATCAAGTCGATTCTGACTTGTAGCAACCCTATAGGACAGAAAAGAACTTCCCCGTAGGGTTTCCAAGACTGTAATATTTATGGAAGCAGACTGCCACATCTTTCTCCCGTGGAACGCCTGGTGGGTTTGAACCGCTGACTTTTCAATTAGCAGCTGAGCATTTAACCACTGCACTACCAGGGCTCCATAAAAAGACAAGAAAAGGCAAATGTATGGAGGACAAAGTTCATTAGTGGTTACTGAGGCAGGAGGGGTGGGAAAGCAGAAAGGAGAGCAGATTAAGGGCAATAGAAATATCACATTGATTAAAGGTAGGGCTGCACGGTCGATTGTTTTAATAGGTGTCAATAAGTTACAATCTGTAATAGTTGATTAGCAACAGTTGTTTGATAAATGTATTTACAACAGTGGTACACAGACAAAAGAAAGAGTACCTGCTGAGGCTGATTCAATTTCATGGGATTTGGTTTTCTTGGTTTGGAGGTTTATGAACATGGTTTCATGGGACATCCCAGTTGTCTTAGTTATCTCGTGCTGCTTTAACAGAAATACCAAAAGTGGATGGCTTTAACAAACAGAAGTTTATTCTCCATCAATCTTCCCCTGGACTAAGAGCTTCTCCGCTCAGGAACCCTGGGTCCAGAGGATGTGCTATGCTCCCAGTGCTTTCTTGGTGGTATGAGGTTCCCGTCTCTCTGCTCACTTCTCTCTTTTATATCTCAAGAGATTGCCTCAGGACACAATCCAATCTTGTAGATTGAGCCCTGCCTCATCAACACAACTGCCGCCCATCGCCCCTCATTAACATCACAGAGGCAGGATTTACAACACAGGAAAATCCCATCAGGTGACAAAATGGTGGACAGTCACACAATACCAGGAATCATGGCCCAGCCAAACTGATACACACATTTTTGGGGGACACAATTCAATCCATGACACCAGGTAATTGGCCTAATGACATGTTTAGTGCTTCTTTCTACCTCCCAGTAGTGCCTGGGGTCTTAAAAGCTTGCACGCAGCCATCCAAGGCAAACAACTAGTCTCTGTTTACCTGGAGCAAAAGAAGAAGCAGCAGACAGAAAAACCATATAAACTCACCAGGCCTAAATTGTATATGTGGAAACTGTTGAATTGGTGTATGTTTTCTGTATACTCAGCAAAAGCAACAAAAAATTTAGAAAAAAGATTTTTTTTAGTTGGACTACAAGAGATACATAACAAAGAACATTTAAAAGTTTTATTTAATGTGTTATTAGTTACATGAAACGTCAAATCAGAAGTGCCAGATTTTCTTCGGGTTAAAATTTTATGTGTGAGTGTGCCTGATATTAGACAAGAAACACATAATATTGTGTCATAACTTCATTATTCTTTTATAGCTTAGTCACAACTTTATTTCTTTTGAATCTAGCATCATCAGAGCCAGTGGTTTTAACTGGGGAATTCACATCATTTACCCATAGTTATTTTTTATTATTACTATTATTACTATTCAGATGCTTAGAAACTTGATCCAAAACAGGAAAACCAGACCCCTTGCCATCAAGTCAATTCCGAGTAGAACTACCCCATAGGGTTTCCAAGGAGCAGCTGGTGGATTCCAACTGCCAACCTTGTGGTAAGCAGCAGGGCTCTTAACGCCCGGTGCCACCAGGGCCCCAGAGACTTGCTAATCTTGTTATATTTTGGGTATCCCATATTTTTACACAGATGTGAGCCTTCTACGTTTCTTTGCCAGCCACGTCCCCCTGCCATGAGTTACTTTCATAAGTGCCGCTATGCCAATCTTTTTTTTTTTTATGTTGCTGTGAAAAAAATTGGCATAGCACGCTTACAAAAATACTTGATGGTGGTCGGGCGCGGTTGGAAAACAAACACAGAAGGTACACGTTATTTGCATAAAAATGCAGTACCCTGACTATATGGTATTACATCTCGAGATTATTATGTGTTATAGCTGACGCTCTTTGAAAATAAGGTTAATCATTATGTTTAGAGAGATTTTTATCTAAAGTTTTTTTAATTGACTTCATTTGACTTTGCATACTTCTGTAATTCCCCTCAACTCTTTGACTTTTAAGAACTATTATTGTTAGAAATTTAATCATGGCCGTTCCGTCGTTTGAGATAAGTTTTTACTTTGCTGACTCACAGAAAGCGCTTGGCCAAAATAGTTCAACAAAAGATGGACTATATTGAACTTATGAAAAGGACTGCGATATTTTGAATGTGGATACTAGGAGACTGAATCAAGATTTCCAGAACTCCTGTGTAGAGGTTGATGGGTTTACAGACTGCTGCTGATACAGGACTGTGTGGAACCGAAATTAACTACATAGGTCTGCGTGGACTAAAATATTACTATGATTACTATTACTAGGTCAGAGTCAAACTTTCAGCACAAAATGAGACAGAAAAACCATATAAACTCACCAGGCCTAATCAGAAACCAGGCTTATGCTCTTAAACGTAACAGAACACAAAGCAAATAGGGAACCCAGTTTCTTAAAAGATACACAGCAATTCTAAGGTAAGAATGAGTCAATTCCACAGAAAAACAAGTTCTAGATGAAACTCATTAACTTGCCAGAGTCGCGGAGGGATGTCAGATCCTCTGATAAAACCTGAGCATCAAACAAAAGTTCCCCAAAGAGGAAAGAAAAGACAATGCAAATGGGAAGTCGGACTTTCCCAGAGTGGAGGGAAAAATACAGAGCAGATGGGAACTCGTTTTCCCAAAGCAATCACTGAAATTCCAAAATTCTTCTAGTATATTCAGCTTATAGCATTTTTGAACACAAACTGCAGAACAGTGTCCCAGTAGGGGAAGCCCCAGGCTCACTCCCTTAAGGTGAAACTTTGCTCTCCCCAAGTCAAATACAATTCCTGGCAGGGAGTCTGCCGTGGGATTTCATCAGTGTTTTGCTGTATGGTGTACCTGTGTGATATGAGAGTTTTCTTGTGGCTGGTGGGCAGCCGAATGCTCTGACCTGTCTCATGTCCCCGCTTATCCTAACATGTTTGTCTCTCTGTTGGTGTCGAGCACCACAGAGGCTTTTAAGGTGCTTGAACTCATGCTCACACATATTTCTGGCTTAAAAAACTCTGGGATTCCTTTGTAACAAATATACGAAACCTAGTTTCATTCTTTCTGAACATAGTTCCTTCTGCCGGCTAGAGACCCAGCTTCTTACCACTTACAATCATTTTCAATTAAGCATCTGAGCTGCAGTGCAATACACAGAGTTCAAGACCTGAGAGTTCTTACCATGATCCCAGAGAAACTGGAGAGAAGCACAGAGCACAATGAGTGCTCCATGGTATGGGCCCAGTTCCTGATTTCCTCCAAGGATTTGTGGACGTGGGAAGATGTCTTCAAGGTTCTGCTTCTGACACCGTTTTCTCTTAAAACCAAAATCATATTAAGCCAGTAATAGAAATTGAAGTTTACTTCATATACCATCTACAAACCGGGGTTACATTTCCACTAAAAAGTCAAAAATGTTCCAAAGATGACAGAAACTCCAAACACTCTTATACCAAACCTTATTGGCGCTGCCTTGGAAAAAAGGGTCGGAACAGAACTGATAAACAAATTTGTGGTCAGGAAGCATTTTCACACAGCTTTGCCTTAAAGAAGAATCAAAATTATTATTGATTTCCCCTAAACATAGCTGCTACTCTGACTTTTGGAATCTGCTTCCTGTAACAGACTGCACATGGGTAATTTTCTAAAAGAACACAATGTCTAAAGCAAACGATCTCCACTAAGCAGCTTACTAGGCTGTCTGACCTGCAGGTGACTCCAGGCAACCAGCTTCTTCCAAGGTACAAAAAGACACCTAAGAGCGGATGGCCTGGGTGGGTCACCCCAATTCCATGAACCCAGAAATCTGGATTCCAGGAGAATCAAAATGGTTTTATTACAACGAAATAAATGGTAAAGAGGTGAGAACAGCAAGACACAGCTGGGGAGGCACTGCATCTCACAAAGTGAAATTCAGCACACTCCGAGGAATTACAGGCATCCAGGCAACATTTATATTGTTAAACCTGGAACCCAGCCCGTTGCCGTTGAGTCCATTCCAACTCATAGCGACCCTACAGGACATAGTGGAACTGCCCCATAGTTTCCGAGGAGCAGCTGGTGGATCTGAACTGCCGACCATTTTGTTAGCAGCTAAGCACTTAACAATTGCACCACCAAAAAAAACAAACCCGTTGCCGTCGAGTTGAGTCCAACTCACAGCGACCCTATAGGACAGTTTCCAAGGTGCAACTGGTGGATTCCAACTGCCAACCTTTTGGTTAGCAGCAAAACGCTTAACCGCTGTGCCACCAGGGCTCCAAACCAGGAACCAACAACATAATATTCTGATTGGCTTGTGATTTGTAAGTCAAAAGCAGGTTAACAAAAGCAGAGGCTTTACAGTGACTGTGAACACAGTGTATGTGGGCTTCCGTGGTTGGTTTAAAAACTTCTTGTGGATTAGTTACTATTTGGTGATATGTGTGCTTGGTGAGGTAAGGTAGCCGAGGGTGGGTTATCTGGAAGTGATGCCAGGATTGGTTCAAGGGGCAGATGTGGGGTTAGTTGATTGGTTTGCAAGAAATTCTTTTCTGGGGACGTACAGGTTAGATACACTGTATCAAGGGACCTTAGGGACAAACTGACAACTTTCTTAGCTTGGTTACTAAGAGAAACACTTCCTTAGATACCAGCTTAAATCTGTACAAAAATTAACTGTTGCCGTGTAAAAAGCAGAAGTAACAAAATAGAGTCATCGAGCCCAAGCTTGAACTAGCCTTTTCAGATACATCAGACGCCTATTTTAAAAGCCCTTACAGAGGGAAAGGAAAACCAAAGAAGCATCCAGACTGTTAGATTACGTGGCTATCATGGCACAGAGAGTTTTATTACTGACGCGTTGCGGTCGAGTCAATTGAATTCATAGCGACACCACCGGAGAGTAGAACTGCCCCATAGGGTTTTTCCAAGGCGGTAAGTTTTACAGAAGCAGACTGCTACATCTTTCTCCAGTGAAGAATCTGGTGGGTTCAAACCGCCAGCCTTTCACTTAGCAGCCGAGCACTTAACCACTGTGCCATCAGGTCTCGTTTGTCATTACTTAAAAAATAAAAATAAACCCAGATTTAGATATCTGCCTTAGTCACATACTGCTGCTATAACAGAAACAGCACAAGTGGATGGCTTTAACAAAGGGAAGTCTTGTAGATTGAGTCCTGCCTTACTAACACAACTGCCACCCATCCTCCCTCATGAACATCATAGAGGCAGGATTTACGACATAATAGGAAAATCACACAACACCGGGAATCACGGCCCAGCCAAATGGATACACACATTTTGGGGGGAGGACATAATTCAACCCATGACAACAACTGATGCTCCTTATGGTACGAAATGCTGGAAACAAAGTTATAGGTCTGCTCTGCAGCCCTAGTGCCGCAGTGATGAAGAGCTCAGCTGCTAACCAAAAGGTCGGCAGTTCGAACCCACCAGACGCTCCTTGGAAACCCCATGGAGCAGTTGTACTCTGTCCTATAGGGTCACTATGAGTCGGAATCGACTCGGTGGCAACGGGTTTGCTTTTGGTTTACAAGTCGGGTCTGCAATGAAGTAACGTCAGTGTCGTTAACAACAAAGCTGGAGGTGTAACTTCTGTTAAGTTTGGGACTTCACGTATTTGGTAAAAGCCAAGACTTTGCGCCTAAAATGTGTGAAAACATGATGGCAGTATTACAAAGGAATCGACAACAACTTAAGAAAAAAAATCTTAAAACCTCAGTGAGATAAATTCCTCTCTACAAATGACTGTTTTGTTTCACGCAACAGGATTAACTAGAGTCGTGGTTCTGTGGGAGAATTCTAGTCTCCCACACAGGAGACCCGAGTTCGATTCCCGGCCAGTGCACCTCATGTGCAGCCGCCACCCGTCTGTCAGTGGAGGCTTGCGTGTTGCTGGGATGCTGAACAGGTTTTAGCGGAGCTTCCAGACTAAGACAGCCTAGGAAGAAAGACCTGGGGATCTACAACTACAAATTTACATGGGGACTGGTGGTTCACTGGTAGACGTCTCGCCTTCCATGCAAGAGACCTGGGTTTGATTCCCGGACAAGGCACCTCATGTGCAGCCACCACCCGTCTGTCAGTGTAGGCTTGTGTGTTGCTGGGATGCTGAACAGGTTTCAGCGGAGCTTCCAGACTAAGACTAAGAAGAAAGGCCTGGCACTCTACTTCTGAAAATCAGCCAATGAAAACCCTGTGGATCACAACGGTGCCATCTGTTTCAGCTTCTAGTAACCAGCAATCATTGGAGTTCCATCTTCAGATGGTGTCTGTCTGCCCCCGTGTGTCTGCCCTTTTAATATCTCAAGTGATTAGATTTAGGATCCATCTATACTGATAGGATTTCACTAACAGAACAAAAACCCCTATTCTCACACAGGGTCACCTCCACAGGGACTGTTGTGGTGGACAGTGTTAGCTGTGGAGTCAACCCCTACTCATGGTGGCCCCACGTGTGCAGAGCAGAACTGCACTCCATCGGGTTTCCATGGCTCTCACTTTTTGGAAGCAGATTGCCAGAACTTTCTTCTGAGGCACTTCTGGGTTGTCTCGAAAGGTTGTCTCAAATGACTAACCTTTCACTTAGGCTAGCCCATGAACTGTTTGAACTACCCACCAGTTACTGTCAAATTCATTCTGACTCATGGGGACCCCATGTGTGTCAGAGAAGAACTGTGCTGCATAGGGTTTTCAGGGCTGTGACCTTTCAGAAGCAGGTCGCCAGGCCTTTCTTCCGAGGCACTTCTGGGTAGACTTGAATTGCCAGCCTTTCGGTTACCAGCCAATCGCATTCACAGCCCACACTGACCAGGGACCATCCGCAGGTACAGGGGTTAGGACTCTAACACATGTTTTGGAGGACGTGATTCAACCCACAACACCCGCCATGGCGCTCCGTGTAAGACCCACCAAGTGTGGAGCGTGAGGAGAAGGCAGGGGGACCCAGGGACACTCACAGCGGGACGAGGAAGGGGTGGCTGACTTCCTCCAGGACCGACTTGTGCACGTGCTGCTTCTGCTTCAGGCGGATGACTTGGGGGATGCTGACCACCTTGAGTGCGAAGAAGCGCTTGCCCATCTTCTCCCGCACCAAGTGAACATGCCCGTGCCTGCAGGGAGCAAGGACAGGCGTCAGGGACGGGGTGGGGGGCGGTGAGCTCAGGATGGGGCTGCGGGGTATGGCAGCTCAGGGCCACACCAAGTGTGCGCAGGGGGGCAGCGTTTACTGCGCGAGGGATGCTTGTGTGGAGTCAACTGAATTCACGTCTCTCTCACAGTGTCATACACCACACTTACATACACACTAAACACACCCACACACAAACACACCACACTCACACACTGACACACATACACGTTACACGCTCAAACACATTCACACACACTTAACTGTAGTCTTTACAAGAGCAGTTCACCAGGCCTTTTCTCCAGAGCCGCTGAGTGGGTTCAAACTACCAAGCTTTAAGTTCCTAGGCAAGAGTTTAACTGCTTAACCCTTGCGCCACCAGGGGACAAAGAGTTGCTAAGAAGCCACAGGCCCGCTTGTGCCTGTAAATCCGGCGCCGGTTAGGATATCCTGACCCACTCCGGCGCGTTTAGGGATCCAGACGCCCAGAGAGAACTTGAAACCGACTTTTCAAGCTGCCCAGTTGGGTCACGTTCACAGCCAGGGCACAAAGGAAAGGAAATTGTCTAATAAAATAATTCCAAGGCTCAGAGAAACGAGATTAAAGTGCAAACGGGTCAGGGAATGCGGAATTCATCTCAACAGCGACCACCCTCCCAAAACTTCCAGGGGACCTCTGCCCCCTCCAAGCCCAAGCGGCTCTTCCACCCCCGGCTCGGGCTGCCAATTCCACGCGAGGGCGAGGGAGGCCGGGCTGAGGTCCGCAGGCGCCTTCGGAGCCAGCGCCTCTGTCTCGGGGGGGTCGCTGCCTGGGAGGGTCACGTGTGGGTGGCCCAGGAAGTTTTGTGACGTCAGGTGGCCCCGACACTGGGGTAATGGTGCTGGTAAAGGGGGTGTGTGAATGGGGATCCATGCGAGCCGAGGAGCAGGGTGGCCGGCAGGTCGAGGAAGTTCCCCGGGGGAGCAGGGTGGCCGGCAGGTCGAGGAAGTTCCCCGGGGGGAGCCCTCCGACTCCGGGGGCGCGCCGAGGGACTAGAGCGCCCCGCGGGGGTACTTGGGCCCGCGGGGCCGAGCAGGCAGCCTACCCGTGTGACGGCGGCGGTGGCACTGGGGCCCTTTGTCTGGCCTCCCCGGCCGGTCCCCGCGCGCAGTCACGGACGATGGGACGCGGGTGCAAGTCCTGCAGCCAGCGCGCCCCGGGGCGCAGCGCCGCGTCGTCGGTCCCCCCAGGGCTCTCGTCGTTGCGGCCGCCTCGGGCACCTGCATGGGGCCCGGGCTTCCCGGACGCAGTCTCGGAGGGCGGCGCGGCGGCCGCGACATAAGCGGTCGCCCGGCTGAGACAAAGGCAGGGCTCGGCCGAGGGTCACTGCAGGAGCAGCAGCAGCGGGTCGTGGCGACCGCGCACCGCGGGGGCCGGGCTCATGGCGCCGAGCGGACAGGAGGCGGCGGGGGTTGGGTCCCGGCCGCGGGCGCCCCGCTGCGTATTCTTTCCCTGCGCCGCTGCGACCCGGGCGCGCTGATCCGGGGCTGGCGGAAGCCGGCGCCGGGCGCGAGAGCGCGTGCTGGGGGCGTTGCCCACCTCTGCGCTCCGCCCTGCGGCGCCCCGGAGTCGGCGACAGCTGGGACAGGGCGGAGACTGGGCCCGCGTGGGGCGCGTGGGCTGGCTGTCCCCAGCTCCGCAGAGGATGCGCGCCTCAGCCCAGAAGGAAGGTCAGAAGGAGCCGGGGACAGGGAGGGTGTGGTTAGAGCATAGTTAAAAGGACCAGGAAACGGGGTTGAGAGCGGATCAGAGTTGAGGTACAACTATCCTGCTGCCTGTGCGCCCCCGCAGAACACAGTTTGGCGAACAGAAATGTCCCTGAGGTCAGCTTCCTGGTTCAGATGGGTAACGACAGTTACGTGGCCCTTGACCCTTGTTACAGTTCTTAGGAGGTTCCTTGCCTTCTCTCTGTTTTTGTTTGACTCGCTGTCTCTGTGTTTATCTCTCTGTTTCTCTTGGTCTTTCTCTCTTTCTCTCCTTCCTGCTGCTTCTACCATCTTTCTGTCTGCAAAACCACTGTGGGGTTGGCTGTATATATATAAACTCCTCCTCAATTTCAAGGGTGTTCCTCCCTCTGGTTAGGCGACAGGTACCTCCTTTGCATAGTAGGTGTGCCTGGGCTGTGGTTCCCCTCCTTTGCATAGTATATTGACAGTCCCTGCAAGGACATAGCAGTCACAGGGCAGGCTGCCGCCCAGGACCAGACAAAAAATACCAACCCAAGTTGTTTACAGCTTACCCAGGAAATGTCAATCAACCTGGACAAAAAGTAAAACTCACTGGGGTGGAAAACTAGAGCAAAGGTAACTCCTCAGGGCTTAAGGAAAAATCAAGCGGGTTTTCCCAAAGAACCAAGGGAAAAGACCACAGAAAGGAGCTCATTTCACCACACTGTGTAATCTGCCAATATTTCGAATTTAATGGTTCATTTTTAAATTACATAATAGATTGTATTTCCTTTGAAAGACAAACTAGTCCAGAAGATGTCTCAGAGAGATCTTGCAAAAAATTACCTGAAGAAACCAGAAATTCAGATATGATGAGGGTGACTCATTTTGCTAAATCCATAAACAACTAAAATGACAAAGTCAAAGGATGTGTCCTATTTATTCTAGAATGAGGGACTGTCCAGCCAGAGCAGAGTTATAAAAACCAGCAGTGATGAGTAATTATATGTGTCCACTTCGCTGGCAATGGTGCCCAGATGTTTGTTCAAACACTGGTCTAGATGTTGCTGTGAAAGAGTATTGACGTGATCAACATTTACAATCAGCTGACTCTAAGTAAAGATTACCTTCCATAATGTGGGTGGGCCTGATCCAATCAGTTGAAGGCCTTAACAGACAAAAAGTGAGGTTTCCCAGAGAAGAAGGATTCTGCCTCAAAACTCTTAACATAGACATCCTGCTGGAGTTTCCAGCTTGCCTCACCTACAGATTTTGGTATTCAGTGGTAGAATTCTTACCTTCCATGAAGGAGACCAAGGTTCACTTCCTGGCCAATGCACCCAGCTGTCACTGGAGGCTTGTGTGTTGCTATGATGCTGAACAGGTTTTAGGAGAGCTTCCAGACTAGGAGAGACTACTTCTGAAAATCAGCCAGTGAAAACCCACTGGTTCAGAATGGTCTGATCCACAACCAATCATGGCGATGGAGCAGAACAAGGCCTGTCTCAGTTACCTAGAGCTGCTATAAGCACAGAAATACCACAAGGGGCTGGCTTTAACAAACAGAATTGTATTTTCTCACAGTTTAGGAAGCTAGAAGTCCGAATGCAGAGCGCTGGCTCTAGAGGAAGATCCTCATCTCTTCAGCTTCTGCTTCCTGTTCTTTGGACATCTGGTGTCTTGGCATCTGTCTTACCCCATTTCTCCTGGGCGTGCACAGTCTGTACCCCGCTCTTAGGGAAAGATACGTGATACGCAAGAGACAACAAACGATGAACCGGAAGTCAAACTAGAGACTCGTGTATTCTAAAGATGGGGAAATACCTGTGAGGAGCAAAGACATTAATTCTCTAAAGAACATGGTACATTTTTTTCTAACGGTCAAATACGCAAATACCAACTTTCTCTGCTCCCCCAGGGTATCTTTGAGTACTGAAATCCCCACTTCAGTTGACGAAGAGAAGCTTCCAAAACAAACTTTGGGCCTAGCCTGTACTCATATCAGGTGAGCAAGAGCGACCCCATCTTGACCCATGTACGTCTGAACTTTTCTTCTGCTTTAACATTCGACAGAGTGGAAATTTTTAAGAGACACGCTTGCACTCATCTCTGAAAATGTGGTTTTGTTTGTCCTTTCTTGCACAGGTGTTACAGGAGAAACAACAAATTGTGGTTAAGATGCTTAGCGTTGGTCTAAACAAAAACCCATTGTGGTGGAGTTCCAACTCATAGCGACCCTACAGGACAGAGTAGAACTGCCCCGTAGAGTTTCCAAGCAGTGGCTGGTGGAATCGAACTGCTGACCTTTTGGTGAGCAGCTGAGCTCTTAACCACTGCGCCACCAGGGCCCCTAGGGTTGGACTAAGCTGATGTTAAATAGAGACAGATTTATGGCTTTTTCCTGTGGAAACCCTTTTTTCCCCTTGAGCGTTGGAATACTTAGCCTTTTTCACTTGTAATCATCCTATTCCTTCAACAGACTGTTTACACTTATATTTTAGCAGAGCCCGCCACCCTAATGGTGAAGTCACCTAGTTTAACACGTGCTGCAGATGTCTACATGATCTCAGGGTCCAGGAAACATGTGACTTTAGCGGTCGGCCGATTCTCAGAAGACACCCCTGCCGCCCCCCACCGCCATTTCTCACTCCCTACTTGTAACTTTCCGCACCTTCATTTGAACTAACCCAAGCGTCAGCCAATGAAGAGAGTTTTAGCTGCAGCTCTCTGCCCTCCGATTGCCTGCAACAACGCCAGCCTGTGAACAGAGCTTTAGCTGCTCCGCCAGAGGGTGACCCGCAGCTCCTGGCGCTGCGCCCACTCCGCGCGCACTCCTGGTCTCTCCGCCCCGCTCCCAGAGCCTCGGAACTCCCTGTAGCCGAGGAGCCGCCGCCGCTTGATCGCTTCCTGCACCCCCGGCCCCGCGGCCGCAGCTGCTTCCAGGAGGCCGCAGAGGTGGGACCTGTGTCTCTCGGTGCGTTCACAGGTTAGGTCGTGGGAACCCTCGCCGCGCACACGCGTGCTTCTCAGGCAGCGGCGTCAGCGGCACAGGGAGCGCATGAGACACGGAGGGACTTGATACCTGTAATATAACCACCGAACCCAGGAGTCAGCTTCTAAAATTATTTACGCGAAGATTCAGAAAATTGGCTTTATTTAGCTCCATGCATGCTTGTGTAGGGCTGCTAGCATGGTATATGGGTCGGGATGGAAAGAGTGTTTCAGTTGGAAAGAATGAGTGTTTAAATAAATTCCTGAGGCGGCAGAGAACCCAGTATCATCTATTTCTGGATGTAAGTCAGAGATGTTTGAAGCTGAGAAAACAAAGTGTGTGTGGGGGGTGGGGGGTGTTATGTGAAGCAGCTTGGAGGAGGCAATGGTAGCAGGGGGTTTAGAGCCACGCTGACTGCTCCGGGCTCTTTGAAGGCCGGTGGACAGCCACTGACGGGCATGAAGCAGTTTCTGTGGTGCAAATAGATTCTGGAAGCGACAACCATGATTGAATGACTTAGGAGCTTGTTATGAACAAGGAAGACTGTGAGGAGGCCTAGACATGGAGATTGGTGATGGATCGGAAGACAGTGCAGTGATAGAATGTAGATGTGAATGGTTCACAGGGCATCCACTGATGGAATGCTCATTCCTTGAGTTACAGGCTGTAGGTCAGTGAGTGCTTCTCATACTTGAATGTCATTGTGGATAACCCGGGAATCTTGCTGAAATGCGAGTTATGATTCACAAATTCTGGGTAGCGTCTACATACTGAATAAGCTCCCAAGTTTATGCTGGAAATAATAAATCTAGAAATAAGGATGCAAATTAAAATTAGAGAGTGCTATGAGTAGGCATCGACTCAACGGCAATGGGTTTGGTTTTGGTATTAAATAATAAAAGGAAGGATCATGCTTGAAGGGGAAACACTGGTGTAAAGATGACGCGAGAGAGAGAACGTTGACCTGAGGTCAAGAAATGGAAGACTAGGAGGCAGCTTGGAGGGGAGCAGGGTAGAAAGAAATGGGAACACAGGGGAGAGATGCTCCTCGGAGAAAACCTCATGATTTCCTGATTAATTTGTTTGATAGATTTATTATAAGCTTGAAAGACAAAGTGTCCAGGAATCCTCCCAGATTTCTCAACAGCTTAGGGACTCATGGGGTCATGGTTTGAGAAGGAAGGGGGAAAAAAAACTCAAGAGGAAGAAAGAAATCTTCACTGCAAAAGCAACAGGAAAAATACCGATCACATATTACAATGCTATAAATGAAATTAAAAATTGTTGAAAAAGCACAATAGAAGAGTTTTAACTGTACATAAGTAAAAATGAATGAACCATGATGGGTTGATTGACAGAACTTGAAAAATATGTTCTTCCAGACAGCTCACCCACATTAATATCAAATAACAGTGCGTGTGTTCATGTATAAGGGAGAAAGTTACACAGGTGAGCCCACAACTTCAGCATTGGTCCTCTGACTCCGTGGAAGAAATCAGGTTCAAGTTTTGCAGCCTGGCCAGGCCTGGTTGCTTCCCATGCTCTGGGATAAGTAAATTCCTCCGTCTGTGACCTTGCTGGCAGGAAGAAGAGGCCCATGGAGCTGCATGAAGAATGCAGGTGTGTGCTCTGGAGGCTGGAGCCTGTTCTGCCTTCAGTGCAAATGCCCTCAGGGTGGAGCCTGGCCCTGAGCCTGGGAGGAGGCCAGAGACCTGTCACTCCCTGCTTCCTCAACACTTTCCTCCGCATCCTTCTTCCATTTCAGGTCTCAGGTGTGGTGCAGGGAGAGCTAGTCCAGTCCAGACATCTGGGGACCTAGGGCGACCATCTCGCACATCCGTACATCACCGGGAAGGCTTGCAACAGCTCTGGCTGGTGTGTGCACCAAACATTATTCATCTGCCTCCAAACTGCCCAGTGCTCTGCTTCCACTCCCATCCCTCTTCCTGATGTCGCTTCTTGGGCTCAGAGACGACATTCCCTTCAACTTCCAGAAGCTGGAGAAGGAAATGGTGAGTTCTGTGGAGAACTGGGTCGTCCTTACCATAAGCACGGGAGGCTGGATATGAATTGTTCAAGGAGCAGCTGTGTGCTGCGGGACTGGGGTTCCCCAGTGGAGAAAAAAGGTGGCGGTGGAGGCCATGGGACTGAGCCCTAGACGGCACCGAGGCGCTCCTCCACTGTCGCTGGGCCCTTCCTCTATACACGTGTGGCTTTTCAGGATTTGGATGCCTGCGGTCACCTTCCTTATGTGACTCTCAGAGCTGGCACCGTGGGGCGTTAACGTCCCTACCCTGGGCCTTGGTGCTCTGTGTTGAATGACAGAGTCTCCTGACCAGAACCAGAAAACAGAGCAGCTCTGGCTGTGGAGGCTGAGCCCTGCCCTCCAGAGCTGTCCCTGTCCCATGTCTCTGAGCAGTGTTCTTGACTCCCCCCAGGCACTGGTACATTTTCTGTGTGGTTCCAGAAACCACAGCCCCTGCCTCCCACTGTGTTATGGGTCAGAAAATGGGGGGAGAGTTCATAAGGGAAGGCCCCTGACTGTTCATGGGGTCTTGGGTGACGTGGGTGCTCTCCCGATGTCACAAAGGTATGAAGCTGGGGGCAGTTCAGCTGGGTCCTGTGTGGGGTCTCCAGACATATTTTTGGCACAGTGGGGAAGAGTTTTGTCTTGAGGCTTTCACGTGTGTGGAAAGCATGACTCCCCAGTCTAGGTCGTTGTCCCCCCACCTGTGCCTAGAGCTGGTATGTAGTCCTCTAATTGTTGATGTTCTCCACAGTCTTGAATTAGAATCTAAAATTAAAGTGTTCTGTTTTGCTAGAGAAGATCAACATGTAAGTTATGTATATTTAAGTTCTTGGGTTTACAGTTTCCACTGGAAGAAAGTTTCTAGATCATTCGGTATGTTTCTACTGAGAAAGTTTCAATTTAATAGATATAAACTTCTTGATCACAGAGGAATGCCTATTTTAACTGATGTGAAAGATACTCTGAAGCTTACTTAAATCTTGAGAAGATTTTTAAAGACTCCTGTTACATTTAACAAGTCACGCCAGAACCCGTAATGTTTTAAATATTATAGCTATTTTGCAAACATTCTCCTGGCTGAGAGAAAATGGGTGTATAAACTCTGATATCCCTGTTCCCTTGTTTAGAAAGAGAGCTTGAATTTATACTTTTGTGATTTGTACAAGTGTGTTAAAGCATTTAATAACAGTTGGGTCCTAAATGATTAAATTTTAATGGTATTATTATTACCAATGTGAATTCCTAGTAAATATACGTAATATCTCATTTGACTTACATTGGGTTTAAAAGTACAATATAGTTTACTGAAATTATGTTTTTCCAATAGGTAAGACCTTCAAAGTTTGAAACTCAATAGGAACTTTAAAAGTATGCTTTACGGAGACTTGCTCCTACCCTTGTCCTCTTCCTGCCCACCCCTCTTCCCTCAGCTTCCTATAAATAACCAGCTTTATTACTTTCTGAAGCATCTTGCCAGTGTTTGTGTAGAAGCAAGCAAATAGAAGTAGAAATTTTTTTATTTCCCCTCGTTTGTTACAAGAAGATAAGATAGAATTTACACTTTTTAATGAACAAACCATCCTGGTGATGTTTTCATGACAATACATAAAGAGCGTAAATCTAAATTCTTATAAAACTCCAGAATACTACATATGATTGATCTTAGGTTTCTTTGTTGTTGTTTTTAACTGTATCGCTACGAAGGGACAATTGAATTGCGGCCATTATTTTCCTTTTACAACAATTGTTCTAATAAATATAAATGTAAATTTCTAAGATCGGGGTATTAATAGTTGAGGCATAAAAGCCCTTCTGAACTAAGATAAGTACAATCAAAATAAAGGGCTTTTCACATGACTTTATATAATTAATATATGAAAATTACCTTTCGTTTGTGTTTTAAATGCTTTAAACTTTCTATTGGCCACTGTACCATAAACAAGGGGTGCATAAACTTCTTGTGTAGAATCTAAATAGTAATATGAGTTAATGATAATAAATAGACCTTGGTCAGTTTTTATGACCTCCCCGTGTGTCCCACCCTGATCTCATCTCCTGCCTGGAGATAGTTGCTATCTGTATTTAGAAGGGAGCCCTGGTAGCACAGTGGTTAAGAGCTTGGCTGCTAACGAAAAGGTCGACAGTTTGAATCCACCAGGCGTTCCTTGGAAACTCTATGGGGCAGTTCTACTCTGTCCTATAGGGTTGCTGTGAGTCGGAATTGACTCGACAGCAGCAGGTTGAGTTTGGTTTTGGTATTTATAAGTTTATGACCATTACCAAAATTATTGCTATTATTATAGCTTTATCACTCAAGTCTTAATCCATAAGCTCTTTATTGCTTAGTTTTGCCTCTTTTGAGCTTTCTGTAAAGTCGGTTATTACTCTCTCTGGGTTCTTCAGTGACTTGTTTTCTCAGGATGCTTTTGAGTTTTATACATGTTGATGTCTGAAGCTGTAGTCCGCCCATGTGCCTATGTATGTATGTCCCCATTGTATGAACGGGCCACAATCTATGTAGTCTGCCCATGTGCCTATGTATGTATGTCCCCATTGTATGAACGGGCCACAATCTACCTAGCCATTGTAGAGCTTCCAGGATTTGGGTGGTTCAAGTGTCATTTTTGTTTTTGTGAGTCTTGCTACTCTTTTTTTCATTCTCTTTCCAGGCTCCATGTGCTGTTGCACAGTAACCCTGCAGCGAGGGAAATGGCTGCGTTGTAGACCATAGCCATATTCAGATTTACTAGGAAATATTGATGCATTTCACAGCTTTTTTCCTCCCACGAAGTATGCATGTGGGTTTTATTTGTTCCATGTACTTATCTGATGAATTTTTGCTCTTGTAAAGACTGTGAAATGGTATCTTACTTTGATTTTATTCTGTCATTACCCTACACTTCTCCACTGCTGACAAGGCTGTTCATATTTTCCCACTGTTAATTTATATTTCTAGGACTTTTTAGATCTTCTATACAAACTTTGAGAATTTTTCTCTTAGTATGTAATTTATCTTTTCACTCGTTTTCTTTGCCCTTTGATGAACAGTTGTAAATTTTAATATAGTTGATTTTGTCAGTCTCTTCCCTTATGCCTTACCCTTACATTTTTTCTCTCTTCTGATGTCATAAGATCATTTGCTTATAACTTCTGAAAATATTATACTTTTACTTCTTTGTATTTAATAGTAATCTACCTGGAATTGATTTTTTACACATGGAATACATTAATTATTCCAATTAGATAGTTAGTTGCTTTTAATAAAAAGCCAGTTGCCATAGAATCAATTCATAATTCTCCAAATTAATATTCTTTTTTCAGCAGTTAGACCGGTCACCTCCTGATCTCCAAGAGTTCAAGAATATATGACCAACTCAGGGCTTTGGGTTGCCAGTAAGTTTGTGCAGGCCCTTGCTCCTCCCATGGCTGTGAGGAGCAAAAGGAAAAACTGCCATTCTGCAGTGTTTCCCAGTTGTTACCTCACCCTGCCTTCACCCTGTGCTTTATGTTTTGTTGAGTGTTCTGGTGGGTCTTATGGAAGGAGGTGTAATTGTTTGTTCACAAGGAAGTGATGGTCTGAATGAGAGCATTTCTCTAATTTCTGCTGTTTTTTAACTGTTCTAGACCATAAAGAGTGGAATAAAAATCTGTGGAGAGATGATTTCAGTGTGTTGGAAGTCTGTGACACAGGATGCAGTCAGTGAGGAAGTGAATGTAGTTACTGAAGGGACGAGGCTGATGGCTATACCCTAGAGTAGACCTTGAGAGAGCACAGAAGCTTGTATCAAATTCCTGGGAATTCTTTGTTCTCATGGACTTTCAGCCTCACCTTTCGTTCTTGCACACATTGGAGTATACAGTACCTTGCTGATCCAGAATGTGTGGGATGTTTTAGGACTCAGTGATCATTGAGGATGTGGCTGTGCTCTTTAGCCAGGAAGAGTGGGCTTTGCTGGATCTTGCTCAGAGGAGACTCTACAGAGATGTGATGATGGAAACCTTCAGAAACCTGGCCTCAGTAGGTAAGAATGGCATCATGTTTTAAAAATGTATTCGTTTAGTGAACAAAATGTTTTAATCATCAGCTTTGGGCCAGTATTTGGGCTGATGAGAGGAATAAATTGTTAGATGAAACAGCCCTGGTCCCTTGTTCTGTGGTGCTCACATATCCTGGCTTCCCCATGAACATAAAGCTCTATGTATTAAAGTGAGTTTTCATTTCTCTTGTGATTAAATGCTCTGAGGCTCTTTAAGTGTTGTAAGTGTAAGGGGTCACTCTGGGGCACTTAGAGATTTGTGATTTGGGGCCTTGTAGAGAGTTTTACTGTGTTAATTACAAGTTTGACATGATTATTTTACTGCAAATACACACACACCTGTCCATCTCTAGAGATTCTGAAGAACAAAGTATTGGCTTAGTGTCAAGGAAATGTTCATTGCTCTTCACTGTCTTCCCTGATGATGTACATTTCTCCATAAGCACCCTGTCGACCATACACATTTGTTTTCCCAGAGAAGCAAGGGAAGGATCTGAAGACAGTAGAGATAGGACTCATCTAGGGCCACTGTGTTGGGAAGCACCAGGAAAGTACGAATGTTTTTGAAGAACCGTCCCTGCATGGAGGGAATTACATTTGAATCAGTTAGCTAGAAAAAATCTCTTTTGGATTGAGGACACAACTTCCCAAATACCTGAGCTTACTTTCCTAACTTTAGCAATCCTCATACCTATGGTCACAGTGAACCTTTTTCTCTTTTAACGTTACATGTGTATTATGTCCAGTATCTTTCTACTTAGCTCTCCTAATTACACCTATTTATGTCACTATCACTCTCAATCCTCATGGAAGTATTTCCTAGTAAATTGCTTTTTGACCTCTGCCAATGTGCTGAAAGTGCAAAACGTGGCTAAGTCCTTCTTTGTTCACAGCACCCTTTTTTCCCCCCTAATAAATTCCTTTCGTTTTTGCTTCATGTTATGAACCTCAACTTGAATTATTGGGTCAGTCTCTCTACACCTTAATGATGGAGAAAACTTATCCAGTGAGCATATAATGGTGCGACTCATGAAGAATAACACCTGGTCCTCCATGTTAGGAGAAATCTCAGACTCACTTGGCAACAAAGATCACCATAAAAACCAGTGGAGACATGTGAGGTGAGTGTCATTCAAACAAGGGAAAACAGTGCCTCAGGAGAAAGCCCTAAGGTGTCATGACATTAAAATACACACACATATATTTATGTGTATATACCAGAGCTTCAAACCAGTTGGTAACGGTTCAGTAATTGTTGATGTAAACGAGGGCAGCAACGCATTGCATAGCAACCTAATCTGTTGCCCATCAGATTTTAACCTGAGTAGGAGACAGCAGTGCACCACTCAAAGATGGCAGGCAGCCTTGCCACTTTCCACGTGTTTCACTCTCCACAGTCCTGCTAATAACCCAGTCTCCCTCATCAGGCTTCTGAAACTTTCAGGATTAATTCAGGAGACTGGACTGCTGAACCATTACGAACCAGTGTGAAGACCTTATATATGTTTATATATATAAACCTAATTGTAAAATTATGTGTTCAGAGAATTTTCACAATTCAACATTTTCATAAATGTGAGTCAGATATCAAGTATTTGAAACATATTTCATTTGGACACAATTATATGAGAGCCTCATATTTTAGAAAAACAGTGATGGTAATGGTAGCATTTCTGCTAGGTGATTTAACCTATGAAACATGAGACAACTCAGGGCAAAAACTATTTACGTTTACTGTGTTTGGTAATGGTGAAATGGAAACAAATCTATTTCCAACAGCACGTTGCTTATTTTTAACAGAAGTCATACAGTACAGAACCACTGTGAAAGTAATGAAGGCAATCAGTGTGAGAAACCTTTCAGCCAGATTCCTCCAAAAGTAAATCCTTTTGAATTTTGTGAGTGTGGAAAAGCCTTCATGGATCACTCATCACATAAACATGATGCCAGATCTCACACTGGATGCAATACCCGTCCGTGTAAGGAGTGTGGAGAAGCCAGCAGTTGTTCCTCTCACCTAACCACTCCTATAAGAACTCTTAATGGAAAGAAACCCCATAAATGTAAAGTATGTGGGAAGTACTTCATTTGTATCTCAACCCTTAGAAATCCTGTGACAACACTCACTGGTGAGAAATGGTATGAATGTAACCAATGTAGGAAAGATTTCTGTAGTTTCTCATCCTTTTGGATACACATGAGAGGTCATAAGCATGAATGTAAAGAATGTTGTAAAACCTATAGTCCTTCATCCCTGATTTTACAAAAAAAAATTCATAACAAAGATAACCCTTACAAATGTAAGGTATGTGGGAAAGCCTTTAGTTGTTCCTCATCCCTCAGTACACATATGCGAACTCACACTGGAGAGAGGCCTTATGATTGTAAGGAATGTGGGAAAGCCTTTAGTCAGTCATCACACCTCACCGAACATATGCGAACTCACAGTGGAGAAAGGCCTTATGAATGTATGGAATGTGGGAAAGCCTTTATGTGTTCCTCACACCTCACTAAACATCTAAAAACTCACAATGGGCAGAGGCCTTATGAATGTAAGGAATGTGGGAAAGCCTTTAGTGAAGCCTCATCTCTCACTCGACATATTAGAACTCACAGTGGAGTGAGACCTTATAAATGTAAAGAATGTGGGAAAGCCTTTAGTCGTTCTTCATCCCTTACTAAACATATAAGGACTCATAGTGGAGAAAGGCCTTATGTATGTAAGCAATGTGGGAAAGTATTTAGTTGTTCCTCAGACCTCACTACACATATGCGAACTCACAGTGGAGAGAAACCTTACAAATGTAAAGAATGTGGGAAAACCTTTAGTGTTTCCTCAACCCTCACTACACACATGAGAATTCACAGTGGAGAGAGGCCTTATGAATGTAAGGAATGTGGGAAAGCCTTTAGTCAGTCATCACACCTCACTACACATAGAAGAACTCACAGTGGAGAGAGGCCTTATGAATGTAAGCAATGTGGCAAAGCCTTTAGTTGTTCCTCAGCCCTCACTGCACATATAAAAACTCACAGTGGAGAGAGGCCTTATGAATGTAAGGAATGCGGGAAAGCTTTCAGTTGTTCCTCAGTCCTAACTAATCATATAAGAATTCACAGTGGAGAGAGGCCTTATGAATGTAAGCAATGTGGGAAAGCCTTTAGTCAGGCCTCAGCCCTCATTACACACAGAAGAATTCACAGTGGAGAGAGGCCTTATGAATGTAAGGAATGTGGGAAAAGCTTTAGTCGTTCCTCATCCCTCACTAGACATATAAAAACACACAGTGGAGGCGTTATGAATGTAAGAAATGTGGGAAAGTCTTTAGTCAGGCCTTAGCACTGACTACGTATAGAAGAATTCACAGTGGAAAGAAACCTTATGAATGTAAGGAATGTGGGAAAACCTTTAGTCACTCCTTAATCCTCACTAAATATATAAAAACTCAAGTAGAGGCTTTATGAATGTAAGGAATATGGGAAAGCCATTTGTCATTCCTCACACCTCACTTCACCTATAAGAACTCACAGTGGAGATACTACTCTTGTTTCAAAAGTGGGATGTTTCATCTTTATTGCTATAATTTCAAACAGCAAATTTCCAAAATTCTGTTATTAAAGAAAGAAAAAAAATTTTATTATTAAAATAAGAAAGCAATACTAACTCAAAGAAGAGGGGTCATTTGAGCTACTTTGTGGTGAAATGACGGTTTCATTGTAACTGTGAGTCTGTCCTCATCAGTATTACATTGAGTCTAAGCTACATTTCACCTTTCTCAAAGTCTTTGGCCATTACAAATAAGGCAAACTGAGCAAATGTGGTTTTATAATTTTTAATGCTTGTATTGATGTTGTTCTGTATACAATTAAATACAGTCATCTTATATATGGTGATGCAAAATTTAGGAGAGAAATGATGGGCCAGCTTCCAAAGCAATGAGTCAGTTGAGTAAATGACTGGGAGGTGGGCAGACAACAGTATTGAAGATGGAGAGAAGCTGGTATAGTCAAAAAGCAGTAAAAGGAACAAGGAAATCTACATGAGAGTGGAGAAAGGTGAGCTCCCAAGTGGTACTACGGATTGAAAACAATTCTGATCTTACTCCTAGAATCGGGTACAGTGGGTGTGACATAAAATCCAAATGTTGAATAGATTTTTAAAAATCCAGAAAAGACATGGAGAAAAGAGACTTTTTCACATAGATTCTCCACAAACCAGAGAGCTGGGAATTACTAGAATGGTTTGCCCACTTCAAAGCACCTCTGTTTTCCTTACCATGAATTCTTTTTCCCCTTTTGCTTACCATTCCTTCAGTGTTTTCCAACTTTTATAACTCTGCTTTATTCTGCTTGATTTTTTCTTCCCCCATCTTTAAGTTCATGTAATCTACACCCTGCTGCATATCAAGTGATATTAAACCCATTTTCCCCCTCTAATTTTGTATCTGTATGTTAAGTACAGAATTTCTGGCTGGTTCCTTTCAAATCTACAGTGTCATTTGTTATTGTTTCAAGTTTCTGCCTTTTATCCTCATGACCGGGGAAGCATAGGTGTTTTATATTTGTGTCTGTTTCTGTCGTCTATGCTAGTTCATTCCCTGTGTGCCTGATAATTTGTGGTTCTGTGATAGACATTATATTCGTTAGGCTTTCTTACTACTTTGAAAGTTTTTAACATATCTACAACAATCGTTCACATATCTGTTGTCAAGGATCAACAGCTGTCAATATGTTAGCGTTTTGGTTGAAGATATAATTGAAGATACAATTTTTTATTCCAAAGAGGATTTTCTTCTCTTTTTTTGGGCTATGCCACGGGTCTGGAGTTGCTATGAATCTCATAAACCTTAAAATATTCAGAGCTTGAGATTCCCATTGGAATGACTCACAACCAGGCATGAAATCCTTGTTACATTTATATGGCTCCCACTTTTGGGAAACCTGACCTCCAACCTCTGCTTCTACTTCTGAATCTTGTTTCCATAGCTTTATAACTAAATCAGCCTCCTATTGGTAAAGTTCATCTGAAATACTTGACTCCTAATTCCATATTCTTCTTAACCATGTCCTCAATTCCTTAATATCTTATTTCCTTAATGCTTTTGGGAAGATGTATCTTATTTCATCCGGACTTTTTAGGTGACTCCACTGGAAGATGGGGTCCAAACTACTGAAAGTAGAAATCTCATTAGTTCTTTGAACATTTATTAAAATTTAGCATATCTATAACAAAGGCTGCATAATCTTTCCAAGTTAATTATATTTTGTTTTCTGTGAAATTGGCTTTGTTTTCCTTTCTTCAAACTGAATTTAAAAAATATTGTGGTAAAATACACAGAAAGTAAACTTTGTCATTTTAACCACCGTAAGTGTACAAGTAGCCCTTGTGGTGTAGTGGTTAAGAGCTACAGATGCTAACCAAAATGTCAGCAGTTCGAATCCACCAGCCATTACTTGGAAACCCTATGGGGCAGTTCTACTCCGTCCTATACGGTCTCTATGAGTTGAAGTCTACTTGATGGCAAAGGGTTTGGTTTTTCTTTTGGTTTTAAGTGTACAAATGTATTAGTTACATTCAAAATGTTGTGCAACCATCACCCCTATGTATTCCAAAAAATTTTCATCACTCCAAACAGCACCTCTGTACCCACCAAGCAGTAACTTCCCATTTCCCCTCCCCCAAGCCCCTGGTACCCACTAATAAACCTTGGTTTCTCTGCATTTGTCTATTCTGGACAATCTACATAAATGGAATCATACGATTTTTGTCCTTTGGTGTCTGGCTTATTTCACTCATCGTAATGTCTTCAAGGTTCATCCATGTCGTAGCATGTACCAGAACTTCGTTTCTCTGTATGGTTGAATAATATTCCATTATATGTATATATTTTGTTTATTCACTCATGTTTTGATGAGCACTTGAGTTGTTTTCACCTTTGTCTGTTGTATTTCTATGAACATTCATAGGATGTTTGTGTCTGTTTGCTGGTCATTGGATAATTCTACGTAACATTTTTATTGTGAAATATATATATACATACACACACATACACACACACACACGTAAGAAAACGTGTGCTGAGGCTTCCGATAGCCTGAGAATTAATTCTCTTACTAATGCTCCTGGGAACAGCCCTTTGGGGCCACCACAACAGAGTGTAAGGATTTAAATGGTGGCAGCACTGACCGCCAGTGCATCATGGGGCAGCCCAGGCTATTCACAGGGCCGAGGCAGGTGCCCAAAGAGAGAGGAGACATACAGGGCTCTGGAGGCCTAGGCCGGGGTCTGGCACATGCTAGCTTTTCCTATTGCCCAAGACAAGTCACTAACAAAAGCAGTTGCTCATCAACTCGATGCTGACTTATGGAGACCCCCTGTGTGTCAGAGTACAACTGTGGCCCTCGGGGTATTCGAGGCCGTGACCTCCAGACCTTTCCTTCCCAGTCATCTATCTCTAGGTAGGTTCAAACTGCCAACTTTTTGGTTAGTAGTTCAGTGGTCAACAGACTGCACCACCCAGGAACTCTGTACAAATACATATATGTATGCATATATACATGCATGTATGTATATATACATATATGTATATGTATGCGTATGTATATAAACATGAAGTGTATATACTGTATATATGTATACATACATAAGTATATATGTATATATATATATACACGCACACACATAAGTATATATATGTAAACATGAAGTATATATATACCTTACATATATATGTAGGCAAATCTTGGTGGTTTAGTGGTTAAGAACTACAGCTGCTAATCAAAAGGTCAGCAGTTCAAATCTACCAGGTGCTCCTTGGAAACTCTATGGGGCAGTTCTGCTCTGTCCTATAGGGTTGCTATGAGTTGGAGTCGACTCGACGGCAACGGGTTTGGTTTTATATATATGTATGTATACATACCTAAGTATACGTACACATGCACACATGCACCTGGAGCCCTGGTGGCACAGTGGTTAAGAGCTCGGGTGCTAACCGAAAGGTCGGCAGTTCAAATCCAGCAGCCACTGCTGGGGCAGTTCTCTGTCCTGTAGGGTCGCTATGAGTCAGAATCAACTCAATGACAACAGGACAGAAAAATACATAATTACCTTTAGGATTTGTTTGTCCCTGTGGCAGGCATGTGATCTCTCTGGGCCTCAGTTTCCTTATATGCTAATGGAATAAAAACACTCTTTACCTTTTATAGTAACTGAGCATCCAGTAAAGATCAACGCAAGTGAAAGGCTTTGAGCAGGGCCTGGCGCGTGAGCAGCGCTCACTAAGGCATCTGCTGTTGGAACCTGTGGGCGCAGGGCGCTCTCTCCAGCTCACTCGTGTGTGTTGAGCTCTTGCTGCAGTGGCTGAGGCTGCTGTGCTTTGTGCTGGCAGTCGGCTCGGCTGGTACTGCTCCCCATGTCTCCTCAGTAGACTAGCCAGGGCACGCGCTTGTCACTGCAGTGGCCGAGGCTTGAGAGAGCAGTGAAAACACACAAGAGCTCTTAAGGGCTGGGCTCAGAAATGCACACGGCCACTCGTGGCCCCTCTTCGCCTCCAGTCACCCGTCCCCAGGACAGAGACACTAGGTCAGAGGGACCAGGTATGCCACCCTGGCCCCTTCCCTCACCTCTCCTTGGGCTCTGTCCACCTGCAGGGAGTCTGTGGTCCTTTCAGCCATGGCCTTGCCCTGAAGGTGCCCAGCTGTGTCAAGGACTGGTCACTCCATGGATCCACATCACGAGTGAATTATGTGTGTTCATGTGTATCTGTGTGATGTATATGGTGTGTGTGTACACGGTGTGTGGTGTGTGTTTATGTGTGTGCTGTATGTGTGTGTCTGTGTGGTATGTGTGTTTGTGTGTGTTCTTGTGTGTGTGTTGTGTATGTAGTGTGTGATGTATGTTTGTCGTATGTCTGTGCATGAGTCCGGCTTTCTGAGCTCAGAGGAGAGCACTAGCGCGCACCAGACGGCAGGTCCCCGACGGTGCAGAGGGTGCGAAGAGGGAAGGGAGTGCAGGCAGGAGGCCGGCGGGAAAAGAAAACCAAGCAGGAACAAGTGCTTGAACCGCCTCCACCATCACAAGAGACAGAACTGTGCATGAAAAGGAATCAGATGTTGTTGACTGTTGCTCGAGTAAACTCCAACTCACGGCGGCCCCACATGTGCAGAGCAGAACTGCTGCTCCATCGGGTTTTCATAGCTGTCACCTTTGGGAAGCAGCTCACCAGGCCTTTCTTCCGAGGCACTTCTGGGTAGACGTGAATTGCAGTGAAGTGGCCTTGGGCTGCTACACAGGATGCCTTCTCAGGAACTCACAGACCCTGGGTCGATGGAAGGAGGGGGAACAGTTTATCCCCCTTTGGTTACAAAGCTGCCCGGATGGGTCAAGGTCACAGCCAGGGCACAAAGGAACGCAAATTGTCTAATAAAAGAATTCCAAGTCTGAGAGGAGCAAGATGAAATCTGCCGAAGGTGTCAGGAGAT